TACTGTGACTGACACATAGTAAGTGCTCAACAGATATTTGGTTATTGAATGAATATCTGAATGAATGAATGAATGAATGAATGAAAGCAGTCTTTACCAGTAAATTGGGTGTAAGACTAGGCATGAGATGTCATAACTCTGCAGTAACTAGGTAACATGTGGATTTGCTTGGACAATTAGCCTGAATGACAAGAGGGTTGGGTGTGGAAAAAAGAGTGGCCTGGTGATGACATTGTGTGTAGTTGCTGAAAATTGTCTTACATACCAGATGTCTCAGGCTATTAGCAATTTAGTTTCTAGATTAACATTTTGGACACCAGTAGGGTTCCTTCTCCAATGTGCAATTACTTACTTGTGTCAATGCCATTGTTCAAGTCTGGGTTATATAGGCATTTTTCAGTGGCTTGAAAACATTAGCTGTGGTAATGGCAAATGGAGAATTCTACAAAGTTGAGCAAAAGTCTGTCTAGTCTTTGAGCTGTCTAGAAAGAGACTGTAAAATAAAATTTTGGCTTTTTTTTCTGTTTTTGTTTTTGTTGTTTGTTTATTTGTTTTTCTTGAGTGGGGCTAGCAGTGACACAGAAAGCTTTTAGGTGACACAAAGTAAAAGTAATCCGAGAATAATAATAATAACAATAGCTTACATGCTGTTTTAAATTTATAAAACATTTCCATTTTCTCTATTTCCCTAGACCTCCATAACCTTTAAACTTTGTACCATGATCTCCATTTTACAGATATGAAAACTCAGAAAGAGAGAGAGGTTACAAGCTTTTTTAGGATGTAAGCAAAGGGCAAAGACTTGACTCTTGGGAGGGGGGCTGTTTTGGTTACAATTGTAGGGCTCTTTTCAATATATACAGGGTTTTTTAGTCCTGAAATGTAAAAGGAATAAGAGGAACTGTGACAGTGGTAGGGTGAATAGCAGGGGTGAGAAGGGTGAGAAACCTTGAGAGGGTCTCAATCTGGCCATCTTGAGGGGGATTCAGATCAAGGGACGAAGAAATCAAGAATTCATACATGTGGAAGGGTATGTATGGAAGGTGGAAGCAGAAGGAAAAGGCCACTTTGATTGGGTAGCCAGTACTAAGCATTCTTTTAACTAAATGTACAAGATTTTCAAGTCTTTTAGCACCAGTTGTGGGATCTGCTGACATTATACTGCTTCCTTTGAGTCCTTAAAATTTGCTCCTACACTAGTTTAGTGACACCAAATTTGGAATCTATGGAAGTTTAATCTATTTACCCTACTCTAGTCAGGGTAGGGTAAATAGGGTAAACAGCGGTCAGCCCCTTTTTGCAACCTTGCCATACTCCCAATCGAGGATAACTGATGTCTGTTGCTGTACCCATAGTATTCTCAGTGGCAAAAGATAGGCTGCAGGTTATGTGCAATGAACTGAAAACTAGCTCTGTCTGTGTCATTTTTTTTACTACCACGGGAAGCACATGAGAATGAAATCCATAAGAATAATATAATTTCAGACCAGATTTGCAAACTTGTGTTTTGTAAACAGAATAGGGTCTTCAGGCATATCTTTTAATAAAAGTTCAACGGGTTTTAAATGAGTAAAATTTGGAAATTTCATGTAAATCTCTGAGTTTCTAGATTTTCCTAAAAAAGAAAAAAACAGAAGAATTGGGCCACACAGGCTCCCTAATGCTGCATAGCAACAATTGGCTGGCACCAAATTCTGGGAGCTGGAATCCTGCAGGCAGCTAAGTCACTACCCTCATGACTGTGCGCTTAGGCACTAACAGGTGACTCTGGTTAACTAACTTGTGTACCTGGCTAGCTCCTGTAGGCATATATGCCTCTTAGGCCTTGTATGAGAACTACCCATAACCAATTATAATTCCTTCAAAAATGTATTCGTAGAGTTTATTAACAGTAAGAAGCCACTTCCAACCCACTCCATGATATATGGTCATATATCCATGTGCCATGGCCTATGGTTGAGAACAACTGTCTGAAGGAAAGTCTGGCCTCAGGTTTTTCTCATAGTATGCATGCGACTCTATCCTTGGGTTACAGCCTCTCTAAGTGGGTGGGAATTAGACCAGGCTAAAAAGCACCTGATCTATAAATAAGTCAGTTATGGGTGAGGTCCTGGCTTTCATATTTGGTGATCAGTTATTATTTTTTTAATAATATAATTAGCTACCAAAAGCAATAAATAACAGGTTAATTTTTTTTTTTACATAAAACTACCTAAATAAATTAAATAAATAAATGAGAGCCACTGGTGGACCAACGATGTGAGCAAGCTACAACATCCAATGACATACCTCTGAGATCTTTTATAAGGAAAACAAATATTCTTGACCTATTCAGCCTAAAATCTTTAAATCTTTAATAGCAGAGGATTTGTGTGTGTGTGTGTGTGTGCAACTAATGACTTCCTCTTTAATTTAAAGTGTGAACATGATTCTATTTTGTCACATTTGTATATGCACATGGGTACTAGGAAATCAGATTCTATGACTGCTTTCCTCTAGTCCCGAGTCCCCACAATTCTTATAGTACTTTTTATCTTGTTTTCTTATATTTATAAACTAGATGGAGGTGGATTCAGCCCTAGAATTTGCTAGACACTAAATTTTTTATTTAGAAAACAGATAACTCATGAAGGGAGCTTTGTCAAATAGACCTTAATAGATTTTGAAATGGGACTATCAAACTTAATTAAAAGAGAAACTCGTAATAGAACATGATATTTGACCTCCCAGGAAGGACTGAATGTTTTATGCAGGTGAGAAATGTGTGCTTTCCTCAGATAAACATTTTATACCCTCTATAACTTACTATATTGGTGACAATGGCAAGGTGGCATAATATACTGCACTATAAAATCACTATATTGCTTTGTGAAGTTACACTGGATTTGATCAGAAAAAGGTGTTGAATTGTGTATTAGTGAAAACATCCTTCATCATTCTATAAAAGAAAAAAGCCAAGTAGTAAAACTTCTCAATGTGCTTGCCAATTCCATTAATACATAAATCTAATCACACAAAAAAGTCAACAAATAAGCTTTATCTTACTTAAAAATTTTTGTCTTATGAAATAAGCCATATTTTCATTTTTTACCAAGAGAAGGGCTCTGGATGAAACCTTTTGCATTTGTTCTAATTTTGTTATAACATTATTCATCATACTTGAGGCACAAGCTCAAAATCAATATTAGTCATACCACACTGAGCTCTTTATTACCAGAAATACATGTTATAAGTTTTTAAACCATAAATGTTCAGATTCAATAGGCAGATGGTAGTTACTGAATTCCCCAAACTGTCGCAAGTTAAATTTAAACACAAGTTGATGGTTCACACATTTATGTAAGGGACTTGGATAAATCTAAATTGAATTTGATGACATTTACAAATATTTGAACTGTTTTTTTTGGATGGTTGCCTTGTTATAATGTGGTCTTTTTTTTCCACTTTACTCTTCTTCTAGGTCTTTCTAAGAGGTCTGTCGCATTAACTGACTGATAGGAAATGAACTAACAGACCTGGACCTTTAAACTAGCTCTTTCACTGATTTATAGGCTCTGGTTACAGAATAGAAAAAGCTGTGAACTCCACATATTGCAACTTATGAGAATGATCTGTATGTATGAGGCCATAGAAAAGAGAATATACTTTCTGCTTCTCATTCGATTTTCATTCAGGACCAACATTTTTAAAAGAGTATTTCAAGAAACACTAATCTCATAGAAAAGGGCACGTGATCAGAGAATTTGGGACAATAATAATGCTTGCAGATTTTTTTTAATGGAAATAATCTCATTTTAGTTAATCTTGTTTAAGAATGTTAGAAGATTTGCTATAAAAATGCACATGTCTGGTTCTCTTGAAAAATTAAAGATATGATAACACAGTGACTATATCCTCACACAGAAATAATGTTTGTAGCTTCTCATTAGACAGGAAATGAGCTCTCTATTAGTCAAGTGACCACCCAACATGTCTGGATTCTGGAAGATTTTTATTTAACTCGCCCTGTTCTAATCTTTCTTGAAGACACAGTGTCTTTTGGTGTATTAAAGGCTCTGAAAATTCCCTCAGTAAATATTTCTACTTTATTTTGTTTAAAAGTTTTCCCAAAGTACATTTGATTATGGAATTCTTTTTCTCACATTATGAGATGTACTGTCCTAGATTATTTGTTGGGGTTTTGATTTCAGTTTTCACGCCTAAGATTACAGATGAAAATCAATTTCTAATATATTACTTGGTACATGGATATGGATCATAAGTTCATAAGACATTCTTATTTTCTGGTAGAAGTTTATGCTACCTTCTCACAAATATTTGTGAAAGTATTTGGGAAGTCTAAATTATATGTGAGGATTCCATTTCCATTTCTGGATGCTTTTATAAACATTCAAGATGTAGAATTGATGTAGCTGGTTAAAGTGTTTACATATCTAATCAGACTTCAAGCTATATTATAGAGAAGAAGGAACTTCTAGATTTTACCTGAGGTTTAACATTAAAAAAGTCCAGACTAGGGGATCCACTGTGCTTCTGAGCTAATAAGTGGTCCTAACAACTTGCATTCCACAGAAAAGGCTTTGGAGAAAAAACAGATACACTTGCAATATGATAAGAAATAGGAATGTATAATACTATTAGGCTATTCCGAAGTAAAGCAGAACTTAAGTGGGTATTTCCTTCACATAAGTAGCAGCTGAATAACTCATAAAAAGAGAAGATGAGCAATAATTTCTTTTTTGGGAGGTGAGCCTCATATGTATCATCTATGTGCTTACTATGAAAGCCCAATAATGGGAGTTGACTTTTAATCTTGTTGGCTGGACCCTGCAGTTATAATAATGGGTTTCTAGTTTTCCAAATATTGGGTTTTTAAATAGTGGCTGTTATGACAGCAAAAATTTCATGAAAAAAATTCTGAATGACTAAGTGGAGTATTCTATAGATTTGGGTAAAACTGATTCAGGACAAATATATGACAAATAAAGAGGACAAGCAGGTTTAGAAAGAAGTTATTTACCACTTTAATAGGGCTGTCCAACATTTGGTCACATAGATTATTCTGAAACCTAATTGCTTTAATGGTTTTCCTATCTCGCCAGAAGAGATTTGAATATTCTTGGAAAAAGCAAATCAAACATAGAAAAAAGTGCCACGATGAGACTTGTGGCTACAGCACTATGTACTTAATGATGCCAAACTTTGGATTTAATCAGAGGACACTTCTGCAGTCTAGGGCAGCTATACAAAGCCTTAAGACATTGTATTTACAGGACTTATTAATACAGGGATCCATATTCTACCATAACTCTGCCAGAGTCTTAAGAGCATGTTGGAGCAGCTCCCTCCAAAATCCTCACTCTTATCAGTGTAAAAGCTTGTAGTTCTAAAAATAGTTTCCTGGAAGAGGTTAAAACGGTTATCATATATCAATTGAATATAAAGTATGGTTATATAAGCCAAGCTTGCATGCTAATATTGCGCAGGGCAGAAAGCAATAAAACAGGACGCTGTGCTTCCTTGGGCCATCAGGTAGAAACAGAAGGAAGCTCTTGATTCAGTATTACTATCCCTCAAATTCCAGGAGTCCACCTGTAGCTGGCCTTCCAGCGTGACTGCCATGTTGAACTCTCAAAAGGGCACATGTCTTCTTTGCCAATAGAAAAAGAAATGACAACAAAAAGAGAAAAAAACAAAACATCCAGAACTCAAAGAGATACACCAGCCACCTCAAACTGTGGTACTGTTCATTTCTTGAAGAGAATATATAATATTTCAAAATATTATATGTACATATATTTCAAATGGTACAAAGTAACTATAGATCCAAATTAGAAGAGTTGATCGTTCTTCATAATCCCCAAAAATTTCATTGAGAAAACTCTTTTATTTAAAACGCACTTTCCATGATGTTGACCAAAAACTGAGTCTTTCCACTATAGGATACTTCGTGACACATAGTAAAAGCACTGTGATTATCTGATTGCCAAAGTGCAAATAAGAAATCCATTTGGCTTGTAATGTGTTGGATGTTTTAAATTCTTAAAATGTATTTTCCACAGGGTTGGTTTTCCTTTAATACTACAACAAATGCTTCTGTTAGGTTCTTGGGTGAATCTGAAACCAAAGAAAGAAAAAAATTTCAGAGAGAAAGGAACAAAATGAAGGCACAAAAAAGGTGATTAGGCAGAAAATGAGGACATCTTGATTTTTTAGGATATTGATTCTTTGGAGTGATCTGAAGTAGAAAAAAAATGTTAAAGTCTATAGCAGTAGTTGTCAAATGATGATCAAAGCACATTGACAGGACACCATATTTTTATCAATTCATTAAATTAATTTTGCTATGACTGATGAGACAGACTCTTGAAGCCATGTCTAACCAGAACTGGCTTCATGGGCCTAACATCTATGCAATTGCACAGAGCCCTGTGCTGGAAAATGCCCCCATTTAGTTTAATGATCTGATATTGCAATCTTGAAATTATTAGTAATTTTTGAACAAGGCACCTTATGTTTTTATTTTGAACTGGGCTCTGCAAATTATGTAGTCAATCCTGTGTCTGATGAGAATTTGAAACGAGTAGGTCATTCCATAGCCTTGTCACGTTGGCATAAGGTGAAGTCGTTGCCAAAGTTAGACCACATTTGTTTAGAAACAAAGAAGACCTTTGTAAGGCAAGGAACTGTTTATCAAATAATGACATAGTTGAAGGGCAATTGAGAGCATACTCCTATAACTAATGATGCCATATAATCCATTTGAATATGGTCCCAAAGACTCCTATATTCAAAAGCATGCATACATAGAGAATCACTGGTTTAGAGAATAAAAGATAATTCTAATAGAGTTAAGGTTCTATTTTAGAGTTCTGGGACTTAAGACATTTTTCTTCATTTCTTAATTCTTTATAGTCTTAGAAATTTACTGTCTGAGTCTAGGGGTGCAAATCCATTTGAAGCTTTCAGGTTAGGTAGGAATAGTAATAAACATTTGCATTCAAAAGTAGGTTGGGCCAGGGGTAGAATATATAAGAATTCTTCACGCATTTATTTTTTATTCTCTCTATATAAATAACAGGTCTTTCCAAAACTTGGTTTCCTATATTCCAGTGGTATTTATCACCTTCTGTTTTTACTGTCTTCTTTTGTTTCCCAAAAGGAGGGAGAAAGTGATGTTTACAAAATATACCTTTTTTAAAATTTCTACCAGCCCACTACCCTCACCCGCTCAACCTAAACTTAGGCCCTATCCTCTGTGGAAGACTAAGGGCTCTGTGATATTCACCATCACATCCTCAAAACCTTTATATAGAAACTTTAGGTAGTAGAGACTTAAATACATTTACTGGCTAACTATTGCTTTTCTCACTCGTCTGAAAGACATTAACATAGTGGGTTGTAGGAAATCCAAAGCTACTTGATACTTCAGCAAGTATTATATCAGATTATGTTCTGTTGTTTTGATCTACTTATTTTCCCCCAAATACCTTTGATTTTCTCATTTCATTTCCTTCTTCTTCCTATCACCAAACAACCAATGTTTACTTTTTACCTGTGAATTATCACAGCATTGTAGAACAACTTATTTTCTTTGTGAAAAGATCTGTCTGTCTAAATTAAACCATTGTTGCTGAATACACTGGGTATAGATTTGTTCCTGAATGTATGATCGATTGCCTTTCCAATTTTCAAACTTATGTTTTTCATATATTAGTTTAAAGAAAAGAAATAAACCAATACGTATCTAAAGCCATAGGAAAAAATCTCTAGTCAGTATTCAAGTTTGTTAGTCATGCTATAAACTACCAACAAAGCAATTTTAATAAAACAATTGGAATAATGATCAAGCAGCGTCAGGGTTAAAATTTAGCCATAAAACTTCACCCAGATATGATTCCTCTTTCCTTAAGGTTTATTCTTTCAAGTCTTCTGAAAGAAAAATCTTTTTCTAATAATATTTATATTCCTTCTGCATGTTATATTGTCACCGAGATCCAATTTCACCAAGGTTTTTCTTTAGACTGTGGTCTGTTACCCTGGCTACCCCACAATCCAGAGTGTCTAGATGTTTAATTAAAACACCAAATTTCTACTCTCTACCCTCTTTAAAAAAGGAACATCATAAAAAATTACATTGTACTTTGAAGCATCTTTGTTTCCATTTCAGACTGCTGAGAAATTTGGCTTAAGATGAGTGGAAAGTAACCAAAATGGTTTTGAAAAATTCAATGTAGAGGAAAACAATGGTGTACTAGGAATTGTTTTTGAAAGTATTTTTACATTGGGATTATTTTTTAAAATAACATGTGAAAGAAACTTCCACTTGTCATTAAAAATATGAGTATGTTTCTTCAGTTTATTTCTAAGAGCCACTCCCTTTGAATTAATTTTACACAGAACAAAAAAGATGATTGGAAAAAAATTCTTTTCATTTTGATAAGAACTTGAATTTTTTTTATTCTAAAGATGACCTCTTAGTTAAGAATAGAAAAGTGAAAACATGCGATTCAAATTAAAGTATATCTGTGAATTAAAACTTTTAAAAGTTAAATTGCTAGAGTTAATATTTGAGGTGTGTAAGCATATTCATTCTCTAATGGGGAAAAAGAGATAAAGCATACTAGAAAAATTAATATAAAGTGTATTTTCAGAGCATATGATCTAAAGACTGTTGTTGGCATGCCATTTATACAGAATGGAAAGTTCCTGTGTGTATCGTTTGGACTTAATTGGTGCTTTTGTGTTTAAAGTCTTATTTCATTGTGAATTTCTTGGTTAGGAAAGGAGAGAAAATGTGTGAGCAGTAGTATCTGAGTCTTCTCAAAGTTTGGAAAGTACATCTTTTGTAGTGTCTTCTTTTCCTTCTCTAAAGACAGATTTGAGAATTCTCAGTTGACTGATGTGCTGTTCACATGGCTGTAGAGCAGTTTCTCATTTCCTCTCTTGAAATGGATGCATACATCCTCTGCTTTCAAACTCACTGCAGTTACAATTTATTTCTCTTGTACACTTGACTGGGTTGAATTCAGCCTGCTTAGGGTAGTAGCAAACATAGTGTGCTCCAGCTTCTATTACCATGATCAGATTTTGCACTGTACTTCTGTGGTGCCAGAAAATGTCTAGGTTGTATATACAACATGCCTGATGCTTCTGAAATATACTCTACAGAGGCTGGCTGAATAAAAGAAAGTTACATAGGTCACAAGGAAGTAGTATTAATAATTTTTATGTTTTGTTTGTTTACAGTCTAGCTTCCAAAGAGTCTCCTAGTTGTTACTCTTGGAAATTCACATATTTAAATCTTTAAATAATTTGACTTGCGTTTTTCCTTTTTACTAAGTTTCAAGTCCGGAGGCACCATGAGAGCACGGCTTAACTTCAATAATTGGCGATCAGTTATCATTTAGAACAGGGAATGGAAATTTGGTAGAAAAATATATCAACAATGCATTTAATATAATGGTGTTTGAATCATAATTCTGGAATTACACTGGCCATAATTCAGAGTAGCTTAAAACTAACTTGTGAGGGTAAAATAAATTTCAGGAAAAATATAACCAAATGGAAACCTAAAACCTACACTCCTCCTGATAATTAAAATGGTTTCTACAGTTTTACACTAACCAGGCTTATTTCTGTAGGTGTTTCTTCTGTAGGTGTTTCATTGAGATGAAATAGAATAATTCAGGCTGAGCTTCTCAGCGTGTTCGAAAATGCAGGTTAATAAGCTAGGATCATTCAGAAATCTCTCCTGGCTGCAACCCAGGGAGGTATGGCCATTTACCAGCTAATGTGATCAGTACAAGCAACCAAATTTAACACACAAAGCAACTCCGCCTATTTTATATATGAAAATAAAAGTGTTTATATGGTATTATGTAGCATTACTTTTGTTTTCTGCATCACGAAACGGCAAGAACCAATTTTATTTTTTTGAAAAGATAAAGCTGAGAAGAAAGATCAAGTTAAGACTCTAATACAGGGGTTGGAATCAGAGATGCCCTTTTCCATTTGAGTCACCTTTTGGAAGACTACAAGTTTAACATACTGGGATTTGAAATTGGTAGAGTTTGCTTTAAAAAATATCCAACACATTAAAATATATACACAGGGCTGATATTCAGGTGATGTGCACATATATGACCATACTGGTCATTAAAATAGTAACATACCTTTGTACTAGTAAATAAATAGTTAATGTCTTAAGTGTCTTGAGCACTTAACCCTCCCCACCACTCCCTTTAGGACTCCCAGACTTTTTTATGGTCCATTGTCTACAGAGGCAATGGCTGGCCTAGCTAGGCCTCTCCATCCTCCTCCAGCATCAGGACACCAATTCTGATGGATTGGGTAGCCTCACCATGTAGGTTGTTATATAATTTGAGGACAACTCCTTATTTAACCAAAGAAATTGAGGAAGGATTATTCACATTACAAAAATCACTTCCCTGTAAGTTCATCAAAGAATTCTTTTTAAAGAACCTTTAGAAAATGGCTGTACTTAAATTCAGAACTTTTCAACAAAACATCTGGACAAATTAGGCAAGACCGTAAATTTATTATCTATTCTGAGAACCATAGATGTTGGATGAATTATCCAAATAATTGCCTCACTGCTCCTCTTCCCTTTGGCTATTGTAACCCAGCTTTATTTATCACTCAGTAACAGAAACACTAAACTGCTCATTATGGAAAAGCTAAATTCAATCTCTAACTTCTTGTTGATGGATGGACACTGATCTGAGTGGTTAAGAATGATTTCTTTTGGGGAAAAGGTTTTCTTCTCTCCTGTTCAAAGTTTCTTTGGGTGTTGTCTGTATAACACAAAAGCAAATAATACAGTTTGTAACATGCACAAGACATTCGAAATAAATGAACTTACTCTTGTGGTCTTAATTTTATTGCCTGTAGCGCACATCCATCCGGAATTATCGGGGAGTGTCTTACATTCTTCTCCCTCTAGACAAGGCTCCATCTCACACCACCATTTCCCAATCACTATGGAGGCTATGCAAAAACAGGAAACAAGTGTGTTTGCAATTTGTCCAAACAGCTTGGGCACTGGTGCTCTGTCCTTCTGCAGATGTTAATGCTCTTTGAAGCAACTAGGTTCTCTTTAACCTCGTGACTAAGAATATTCTATTAAGAAGAATAAGATTTTAAGTTATAAGTCTTACAATGCAAATATAATTATGCTGTCTGGTTTTATCAAGCTATATTTGGTCAAAAATCTCCCCGTCTGATGAAAACCTGTGGACCAGGAAGACTTACTTGTTGGAGGAACTTGTATGTTAGTTTATGTAAATCAAAATTGTGTATTATTTCTTTTTGATGAAGGGGACAAAGTGCTAAATGCTCCTCAGAATAACTGAGCTATTCTTTTCAGAAAGGCTAGTTTATCCACCCAGCATTAGGGTTTATTCCCCAGCCTAGGGCCCTTGACAATTTAAAAAATAAATTGACTGGAAGTACAAAAGAAACCTGCGCGCGCGCGCGCGCGCACACACACACACACACACACACACACACACACACACACACCAAAAACCAAGAGTAATAATAAATGAAAATATTTGTTTACAGTCACAAATATATTTGATACATGCTGTGATTTCCTTTTAATATGTTTAATATGATGTGGGTGGAACTTTCAAAATTTGAGCCCCTGAGAAAACAGCTCTACTTTTCAAGGTGATATCAAGGTTGATCACAATAGGCAGCTGGCAATGAATTTAGTAGATACATTTATAGAACACTTTTTTTTCGATAATAAGATTTTATAAAGCTAGTGACTAGATTCACTCTACAAATTAAGAAGCTCCATCCCTTGAGTGAAAAATTATTTCTGTCTAAGCATCAGTCACTTCTGAAGCTCCTTTAGGTATTAGTTTTTCACAAACCCTCCTTGGCTTTTCTAGTCAAGGTCTTCAAAATGTTCACCAGTATTTTTATTGTGCTACTTTCTGATTGGCTATTTTTGCACTGGACTGAAAGTCTAGTTCTTTCCATGATCATCTCTCAACTCCTCACACCCCAAAGATAAGTCTCCATCACACTGCTTAATTCTCACAAACAACAACAACAACAACAATAAACGACATTTGTTAATTTGAAAATGAAATGGAGTAAACTGTGCAATGAAGCAGGGGCACATTAAAATTCTCTCTCCATCGTGCATTTGCCAGAGGGATTAGATTATTAACTTAAAAGAAGAATAGTTTGACTATCCAGATATTCGCATTCAGGTTTTCCTCTTTCTACACTTTTCTTAGTTTAGTCTTTCTCTTCTTTAGAATCAAGAGTTCCTCAATCTTTGAGTAAAAATCATTATAAGCTCAATTTAAAGATGTTTTCAGGGTAAATTTGTCTATATTTGATTTATGCCCTATACATGGACCAGACTAAACCATAAAAATGCACCTCCATTAGATATGGCAAGCAAGTATAGGAAGTAAAATTTTCTGTATAGTTTATCCATATGCAAGACAATGTGATATTTTGGTAAAACACCGAGTAATAACAGGAAACACAAATCCTCCACAGGCTACAAAATGATTATATGAATGTTTTCCTTTTTCATAGTAGAGCTCTGTGCCAGAACATGGAGTAGAGAAAATTCTAGTCATGGGTAAAGAGTACTTATGTGAACTAATGGGTGACAATGTTAAGTAAGGGAAGCATATATTTTGGCAACAAGGAAAACATATGTAGTGTTAAAAGGGAACAAAAATAAATTGCAAAGCTTCCAGTAAGGTAAGACAAAAGTCAGTGTTGGCAATGTTTTTTGAGAGCCTACAATCTGAACCTCTCTTTTGGCCAGCACTCAGTCAGAAATAGGCCTGTCACATTTGCCATGCTTGTCCCCTTAAAGCCCATCTAATATTTTGATATTACTTGTCCCGAGTCTATATCATTGAGAATGGAAACCCTCTGATCTCAGCTCTGAGGGGAAACTATCTTTCTCAACAGCCTTCGATTTACCATTTTGTCACTCTTTTCTCACAGAAGCGCAGGAATAATGAACTGTTGAGGAGGTCAGTCTCTAGTATCTTTGCCCACTTGTAAAAGACCCTGTCCTTTTTTGTTGTTGTTGTTGTTAGGCTGCTTGGAATTGACCTACTTTGTTGCAAGCTAACAAAACAATTTCTCTTTTCCCTAAGCATCAGTGTCTGCTAAATGAAGATGTAGATAATAGGAAAAAGAATACATCTTAAAATCCACATATCACCTTTAATTCATGGTTGTAAAGATCCAGTGGCTCATAGAGAATAGAAATGGCTTTCAAAAAATAAAAATGTCCCCAGCCATGTCTATAAATTCTAGAAATTCATATTACACTTGCTTTTCCTAAATAAAGTTTGATGATTTGGCACTACCCTCTGGCTTATTAGACTCTAGTTCTTTCTTCCAGTTTTGCTCTTCTAAAGATGCTATTAGACTGATTTTCTTTCTAATTTGTGCATTGCACGGTCATCTTACTATCTATCACTTTGAACCCATTTTATAGAAGAAAAAACTGAAACCCAGAGAGGTTAAATAACTTCCCCAAGCTTACACATGTAGCAAGTGCAGGAATTAACACTAGAATCCAGGTCTGCTTAATCACAAAATCACATTTTTTTATCATTATAATGCTAACTCATTCTAGTTTTCTGTTCAGGATTTGTAGAACTCTAACGAAGCATTTATTGACCACTGAGTGAATGAATGAATTCTCTATACTGTATTATTATTGACAATAACTTTCATGTCAACACAAACATTTGAGGAAAACAAATACATTTGGTTCTTGTAAAATTAAGTTAACTTAAATAATTTGGAAAAAGGTCGGTTTATCTTATACTTAGTTCTTCCTAGTCTGAGCTATATATGGCTTGATTTCATTAGTTATAGCATTTTAATAGAAATTCTCACTAATAATTTTTGAAGCCATGAGAAACTTGTGAGGTAGATGCATAGTGCTATAAAGACTTTTCTAGAAGAACTGAATTAATTAAGTAACAGCTGCAAAACCAGTTCTCTTTTATCTGTGGTGATTACAAAAGAGGGTCTTAAAGGTCCGTTTTAACCCTGGGATTCTGGGATTCGCTTGATGAATGTGCCATGTTCAGAAAAATATCTGATCTTCAACTTTTTCAAGAGTGTTCATCTTCCCTTGGGAGAGTCTTAAAATCACAAAAGCCACTTTAATCATGAGTCTTGATTTTGTCCTTATACCAGATCATTTTGTGGTAGAGAAGAGAGACTGTAAAAGGAGAATCAATCCATCTTTCAGGGATAAATCTTAAGTAGGCCAGAAATCCTTTTTTGTTGTTGTTGTTATTTTTTTTGTTGTTCACTTTGAGGTATTTTACCATGGGAATAGAACAAGGTACTAATAAGCAATGGGTTTAATAAATACGGCACATATACTTTGTATTGTTTAAGAACTGTAGTCCTTTTCTATAATTTCAATAGATATTGTTCGAGTCTCAATTCAACACTTTCAATACCTGATTTACTGAGAGGGTAAAATAATGAACATGACATAGCGCCTGCCCTCAGAGCTTACAATTAAGCTCAGGGTTTCTCAATAAGTGTGCTATTGGCATTTGGGAGTAAATTATGATAAGGAGATATAAATGAGCAAAGTGTTTCTTTACCAGTAGATTGTTATTGTGCCAGAGGAGCAGGCTCACAGTGGTGAGTAGGAAGAGAAAACCTTAATAAGATGTGGAAGTTTTTGAAATCAAGGAACCTGGGCTTTTAAAAAAAAAAAAATTGTATTTTCTTAAAGGAATGGTAAGGCACTAAAGATTCTATATAGATTCTATATTTGATGAGCAAAGGGAAGATATGATTACAGGAAAGATCAGTTCAGCAGTGAAGTGCCAGATGGAAGGAGAAAGAATCCAGCAACTGAAATGCCAGTTAAGCATTTCAGCATTCAAACAGAGAAGGAATAGGTCTTCATTTTGGATGCCTACCCTACAACTGTGAAGAACGGCAGAGCTGCAACTAAAGAAACGTTATAGCCAGTAACCATATTCACTGTAACCTTAAAAACTTTGGACTCTAATTATTAGCTAATATGTCTGCATACTCACTAGGCAGTGAGCTCCCTGAGGGCAGAGGTCATTCTGCATTCATCTTTGAATGGCATAGAGTAGCTCAAGACAGGTTTGCAATTTATAAATAAATAAATGACTTAAAAAAGAAATGAGAAGAAAAAAATAGTGCCTGCATCAAAGGATTGTGAGGATTACAGAAAAAATAAGCATCTGAAGAACTGAGCAGAGTATCTGGCATTAGTAAATGTGCAATAAATCTTAGCTATTATCATCACCAGCAACATAGTCGTTTGTGCTACTCTAAAGAATAAAATCACTCTAAAACAAAAAAGGCAATTCTTCACAAAGTTAGAAAGTAAACCATTGTCCTTCCATATTATGCCAAAGTCTCAGCTCACTTCTATGACTTATAAGAGTTTGAGCATTTATTAAATGGTTGAACATACCATTTCATTCATTTTCCCAGAAGTAAGTTATGAGTACATCAATCAAGACTAATTTCCAGGCTCATTTTTGTGCAACTCATCATGCAATTTAAAGCAATGGCTGGAACTCCATGAGAGAATGAGGTCAACTCTCTAGTCTCCCTTTTTGCACAGGTTGTTGGAACAGCTGTTCCGATGCTCATTTCAATATAGACACAGTTCCCACTCTAAAGTGGCATACAATCTCTTATGGAAGGTTCACACTAAATATAGTAATGCAATAATATATACTGACAAATTGTAATACACAAAAAGATAAAATGTATTATAAGGGAAATTAAAAAGTAGATATAATTTAGATCATCAGGGTGATAATGGTAAGAGAAGTCCTCATTGATGAAGTAATTTAACAACTAAGTTATCAGCACAATTATTTTCATATTAGAGCAAATAAGTATATATATTAAGGTAAAAGGCTAACTTCACATGAATTTGAAGATACTACACAAAATATAAGATAAATTTTCTACTT